TCTGTCCAAGTGATATCAGTTGAAGAGTAAATGTTGGTCAGGGCTCCCCTACAGATTTTGGAATAGCCATGGAATCGGTTATACCCAGCTGAGAAGATAGAGCCTCAGCTGAAAGACAGTACTCTGATGGTGTTGAACTCATTCACAACTGCACTAGTATCAATCAAAGATTATATGCCCAAGACTCTGAAATGGATTATGATCCAGAGATATGAGTGTTATCATTGAACTGTGGCTAGCACTTAGATCCACACCACAATTTCCTGGTGACTGAAAACTACTAAATTCTCTTCCTTCTAATTTTAATGAAGTCTGCTCATGCTGAAGGATTAGTGCACAAGTGCCTGCTAGCAATGAAGCATTAACAATTGAAGAAATCATACTTTTTTGTCCAACACAACATCACGCTGGAATTCTGGAATGAAAAATGAAAACAGTGCAGAGTACACAGCGTGTCATTGTGTGGGTTTGTGGAGAGAGGGAAATATGCAGTCAACATTTCAGGTTGATGACCTTTTTCTGTGAACATCAACCGTGCGCACTGCGTGTTTACAGAACTTTGTGTATTTGGTAATGCAGTGGACCTTTATTGTGGTCACAGTGACAACAGTATTGAGCATACATTGACCTTTGTCATGCTTGCTTTGGGGTCAGAGCGCAAAGGTTACAGTAAGCAAGTACTCTGGCTGTGATGAGAGGTAGACGTAAGCCTTTGGCTTCTGCCTTCCAATGGGTTGTCTCATGTCCTCTGATGCACCAAGATGTGTGTATAATTGCCCAAGTATAACCTCAAGATCCTGAGAGGACTTGACAGACTGGATGCTGAGAGGATGTTTCCCCTTGTGAGACATACTGGAATTAGGGAACACAGTTTAGAAGTAGATTGGCTTGTATTCATTGGAGTTTAGAAGAATGAGAGGCTGCCTTTTTGAAACACACAAGATTCTTCGGGTGCTTGAGAGAGTAGATGCTGAGAGATTGTTTTCCCTTGTGGAAGAGTCTAGGACCAGAGGGCATAATCTCTGAGAAAACGGCCACCTATTTAAGACAGAAATGTGGAGGAATTTCTTTCCTCAGAAGGTAGTGAATCTGTGGAATTCTTTAAGACTAGGGCTGTAGAGGCTGGGTCATTGAGTAGAGGCTGAGATAGACAAATTAAAATTAGATTTAGAATTAGGTTTATTGTCACGTGTGCTCAAGTACAGGATTACAGTGAAAAGTTTACAATGTCGCCCCTCATTGTGTCATCTTAGGCATAAAGTACCTAGGTACAAATTTAGATACAAAATAGAGAAATAAAGAAAGAAGTTACGTTGCTTTACAGTGATTCATAATATAAGTTAGAAAAGAAGAAATAAAGTCAAAAAGGTTAACTGTAGGAAAGGGAAAGGTGTTTAGTGGCGGGTTGGTAGTGTCCCTATCCCTGGACCAGGAGGCCCAGGTTCGAGTCCCATCTGCTCCAGAGATGCACCATAACGTCTCTGAACAGGTTGATTAGAAAAACAAACAAGGTCCAAGTAATTTGAGACATGTGATAGGTTTAGTGTCATTACATAGCACAGATAACTTGTAGGTATGGTCCCCAGATTGTTTGCCACTGAGATTTTCTGTGTTATGTTTGAGTGTTGTATGCTGATTGTCATTAATCAATAGTTCCATTATTCCTCCTCTACTACCAGGATGATAAAACATGACAGACAGACAGACCCTGCCCTCTTGGTTACAGACAGACAGACCCCTGCCCTCAGGGAGACAGAAAGACCCCTGTCCTCTCGGTGACAGACAGACAGACAGACCCCTGCCCTCTCGGTGACAGAGACAGACAGACAGACAGACCCTGCCCTCAGGGTGACAGAAAGACCCCTGCCCTCTCGGTGACAGAAAGACTCCTGCCCTTTCGGTGACAGACAGACCCCTGCCCTCTTGGTGACAGACAGTCAGACCCTGCCATCAGGGAGACAGACAGACAGACTCCTGCCCTCTCGGTGACAGACAGACCCCTG